ACTGTTCTGGAACAGTGTTTTAAATACAACTTAACCACTGATTTCTAGTCATTTCCATTTTTGGAAGACCAAACAAAGTAGTTTCGCTTTCACAACGAAACACAGCATCACACACGGCGGCCTAGAGTGAGCAGAGGAGGGCGGAGGGCTATAGTGAGCAGAGGCGGCGGATTCGATGAAGGAGCGTCCGATGGGCTTGCGGCAACCACATGTGATGACCGGGCTGGACTCCGCTTCGTCCACGGTGAAAGCCGATCCGGCGATCCACAGGGTGAAGTTGTTGTATTTCCTCAGCAATGAGCACGGATCAGCTCCAGGCATGACGAAGTAGATATCGTTCTCTTTTGGAAGACCAAACAAAGTAGTTTCGCTTTCACAACGAATCACACAATTCACGACATGGCGGCGGCAGCAACAGTACTACAGCGAGAATAAAAGTTACGCCTTCTTTCTTTGCGTGAACATTTGGGCGGCGTTATGCAAATCTTCCCACATCGTGATGTAGATATGTGGGGGCGTGTTAGAACGAGCCGTTTTAGGAGGGCGTGGTTGACTCTTAACTTTTATAAAGAATATCTCTTTGGATTTGAGACTTTAGTCTTTGCAAATTTACAGATCTTCTTTATGCACCAAGAGCTTGTAACACTCCAAAGAGAAAGGAAAAAATGAAATCGCATCATATGACCTCTTTAAGACTAAAGCTAAAAGATGTAGCTAATGTTACTTTGTTGGTCTTTGAAGTATAACAATATTTGTCTATTTATAATTGTTTTATTTATTATTTTTTATATTTTAGTACTTGTAAAACCTGTTAACTGATGCAAATGTAAGAGTTTTTTCAGCAAAATAATAGTTTGATGTTTTACTTAATAGCAATTGTATAATTTTGCAGAAATGTTCAATTTATTTTCATTTAAATTATTCGAAATCATATTTTCATAGACTTCTGCAGCAGAGTTATTTTCTGTTAAACAAAACATGAAAAACATGAATGAAAACTATATTAACTGAACTGAATAAATGAACATTGTCGATTATATTGAAATGTATAATTGACAATAATGAATTATCAAACAATAACAGTTGAAACAGTTAATAATAAGAAGTGATAATACTTATAAAGTACTTCTAAGTTCTCAAAACAAATGACTGACAATAGACATATAGATTTATTGACTTACAATGAGGTATGACACACAATGAGGTATTAAAATGATGACCTTTCAACTCAATGTACGGGAAGAGATTAATATTTTAAATGTTTATATGAGGTAAATCATTTTCTTAAGACAATGGTATTTAAATTGTGTCCAAAATGTGCTTCCATAATATAAACATTAAATAGTAGGCATTAGGCAATATAGACAATAATTCCACTTCTGGACAACATTTACAGCCCTTAGCAACTTCATTTGAAGCTTTCACAAATCAATCATCATCAGCAAGAATGTAGAATTAACATGAGTGCAAAATATTATTTTTGATATATATATATCTCAAATGCACACAGTCAGCAGTATGTTCCTATGTTTGTTTAAACCGTTGCATTTAACTTATCATTATGAGAGATGTTGAGGAAGCGGAATTGCCTCATACATACTCAACCTCTAGTTGTAACCTCAAAAAGTCATTTTAAAGGCCATTTAACTGACTTGAGACAGCTCAGAGCAAATATGAAGTGTAGATGCCACTGGTCGGCTGAAATCACTCGTCACTAAAACCCAGCTGATATTCTTACACACTCATTCAAAATAAACACCATAGACCGTAGAGGTGGCGAAAAGCGAGCTGTTTTTGAAAGTATGCGAGGAGAAATTATCGTTTGTTTCGTCCCACAGGCATCGACTCACCATGCGCATGTTCTGGTCTCTGATCTGACCAATGCTGATGATGACGATGATCTTATAGCGGGGAATCATCAAATCTTTAACTCTGGCCTTGACCACCTGAAATCACAATAACAGAACATGCTTTAGCATATATCTGTGTTTATATATTTATAACCTCAGCTAGCTTTTACTAATTAAAATATGTGTGCTGATAAGTCAGTGTTAAATGTGTTATGTGTTTATTATGATTTAGAAAAAATGACTGAGTGAATGAAGGTCAGCTGACCTCAGAGATGGTTTTGGTCATCTGTCGGCACAGCTCGGGTTCATATTTCTCCTCCTGCAGGTAGCTGGTCAACACATCCTTCAGAATGTCCTTCACTGTTAACACCGGGAAACGTCGTGCGGGGCCTGCGCAAACATTTACTATGATTTACTGATATAAAACTCCAATGCACATGACTGTGGGGCAAAATAAGAAAGACAAGATGTCTAGCAAATGACCTCTGACTTCATAGCCCATCTCAATTCCAAACGTTGAAACGTATTTCTGTCATATTATTCCTGTTCTGCCGTAACTTTCCAAATTGTAACAAAAAAAACCAAACCCTAATAAGCTTGTTGTGTTGCAGTTTAAAGAAGTATTTCTATAAAATGATATACCAGACAGCATAGTCTGGACCAGACAAGCTCGATTACTTTATAGCTTGATTACTTTCACAATATGAGTTATTTTGAAGTAGTATGTATTTATATATTTTCATATACGGTATATTTTTCATTTAAATTTTTGTTAAAGTTTTATTATTATTATTGTGATATTAGTTTGTATGTGTTTTTTTAACTTTAGTTTTATTTTTAGTACATCAAGTTAACCTGAGAAATGTTGCTTTGGAATAAAATAAAAGACCTTTTTTTAATTTATAATTTTTGTAATACAATCTTTTAAAAAGTTGCTATTATCAAAATTATTCTGTCATTTTCAAGCAGATAATTCATAACAAAATTCACAATCTTAATACTAATATTTAAGATGTTGTTTTCCCACCAGACATGATCAATAACTACCTGTATGATATTAATTTAGTAGTTGGCTATTGTTAGTTAAAGGAAAGTTACCAAAAACTAACAGGATGGAAAGTGAAATTGAACACGCAGGAAAATTCTATAAATTAATAATCAATAAAAATATATAATATTGTTATATTTCCAGGGGACATTTTTTTGCTTGCAATATTTTGATTAAAGAACAGAAAAAAATTAAGAAAATTAAGAATATTTCTTAATAAAATACAGAAAGTGTTTACTTATTTGCAGTGTTGGGGGTAATATATTACAAGTAACGCGAGTTACGTAATCAGATTACTTTTTTCAAGTAACTAGTAAAGTAACGCATTACTTTTTAATTTACAAGAGAATATCAGAGTTACTTTTTCAAATAAGTAACCCAAGTTACTTTACTTTTTTTTTTCCAATTTATTGACTGACAACTCTCCTGTCCCCATGTTGAGAGAAATCAGAAGATGTTACTGTAGTTCAAAATAAATATGAATATGCATTAATTCATCTCACTCACAAAATAAAAACACAGATTCAGTATTCCTCAAAATGAATAAAAATAATGCAACTCAGAATATGACGCAAACCTGCAATAATTAAATGTTAAACAACACAAATATCCTTTATGTATTTAATCCCATTCTATTAACCAATGTATTTGCTTCTGACCTTCGATGATCCAGTTCAACCGTACTAATAAGCCAAAATTACTCTAGACAAACATTTGTGTGTCTTTGTTTATTGCTGAAGTGTGTTGAAATTTCTTCTTCTGCATTCTACTGTACGGACGTAAATTTACTTTCCCTTCAGCCTGAGACTGAGATTTGCCAAAAATATAACTTTTTTCTTTAAAAAAAAAAACAAGCAAGCCTTGTCCAGATTTAAAAAGTAACGCAACGCATTACTTTCCATAAAAAGTAACTAAGTAACATAACTGGCTACTTTTTTATGAAGTAACGCAACATTGTAATGCATTACTTTTAAAAGTAACTTTCCCCAACACTGCTTATTTGTGCAAAAAATTCATATTCGATCCAATATATTAAAGGGGTCATATGATGTTGCTAAAAAGAACATTATTTGGTGTATTTGGTGTAATGAAATGTGTTTATGCGGTTTAAGGTTAAAAAAACACATTATTTTCCACATACTGTACATTATTGTTTCTCCTCTATGCCCCGCCTTTCTGAAACACATCGATTTTTACAAAGCTCATCGGTCTGAAAAAGCGAGGTGTGCTCTGATTGGCCAGCTATCCAGTGCATTGTGATTGGCCGAATACCTCAAGTGTGACATACTATACTGTGATGATGCCCTGTCAGGCCGGAGCGACGAGACAAAAACATTAAAACCCATTACAAACGAGGCATTTGTTGTAACACTCCAAAGAGAAAGGACAAATTGAAATCGCATCATATGACCCCTTTAAAACAATATAATATTGTTATATTTCCAGGGGAAAATTTTTTGCTTGCAATATTTTATTAAAGAACAGAAAAAAATTAAGAAAATTAAGAATATTTCTGAATAAAATACAGAAAATGTTTACTTATTTGTGCAGAAAATTCATATTCGATCCAATACATTAAGACATTTACAATGAGGACTTGAAAATGTACTGCACAACGGGAATTACCCATATATGATGTCAGTTTCTTTTGTGTAAAATCACGTTGCTGGATCTTAATCAATGGCTTATTTGGTGAGGTTAGTATCTCTATAGCAGTGAAGGAGAAGAGACTCACTGAGCTGATAGCTGTTCTCCATTTGCACCGCAGGCCGTGCAATATCATCATGATGTCCAGACTCCTCCATGTAGGACACTGTGCTGATAGAGCTACACACAAACACAAATGATCCCTCATCATCTCTACTTTTATATGGACACCTTTCAACATGATTATTTTGTCACGTGACTTGGTAGATGTTAAGGAATGACAGGAACTCACTCCTTAGTTTTGGCAAAGGCTTCTTTAGCTCTGACTTCATGACTGCCCAGAGAAGACAAGCTTCCGCGCTTCTTCAGCAGACGTGCTGCTTTCTCTTTCGCTAAATCAGACATTTTATTGCGGAATATCCACTCAATTGTAAATGCTATTCAGCGAAAATCTGAAAGACATAAAAAAAAACAATTTACATTTGCATTGGTAAAGCACTTATAATTTAGAAGTCTATTAAAACTTGTTTCTGTTGATAAAATAGATCGTAATTTAAACTCAAACGCATGTACATAACTTCATGGCAGCAAAACACACTTACCGCTTTGATGCGACTCTTCCACAAACCCGGAAATGCTCAGCACCGCCACCGGCTTGTTGCCAAACGTTGCCTTGACAACAGAGGATTTCATTGTCTCTTTGAGTGGGATCTCCCGCCAATGAATTACTGTACGAATTCTGAGGCGCCCATGGCAACAGAGTAGTTTTGAAATGTTAATTATAGCATGCTGACTTTGCTTAACGCAATTGAAAATACAATTTGCTATTCTATTTGAAAATTGTCCGGAATATCGTTCCATACCCGCCTTCTGAAACGCTTCGATTTTTAGACAAAGCTCATCGGTCTGAAAAGCGAGGTTTGCTGTGATTGGCCAGCTATCCAGTGCGTTCTGATTGGCCGAATACCTCAAGCGTGTGACGGAAATGTTACGCCCCTTAACATACTGTGATGCTTGCGGCAACTACATGTGACGACCCCGGGCTTTTATGCACCAAGAGCTTGTAACACTCCAAAGAGAAAGGACAAATTGAAATCGCATCATATGACCCCTTTAAATGTAAGACAATTTAATCACCTTTTTAAGATCAATTATAGAAGCTATCAACACAAACTCAGCACACCTGAAAAAACGATACAGATCTAAAAATGTATAAATGAGATATAAAATGTTTTCAAAACGAAGTGAATTTATGAAAAAAGAACAAATAGCCCAACATTGGGCTCATTAATTCAAAGGGAAATTCAATTCCCATTTCATACCCCATCTTGTTTTAAACATAAACTCATTTAATTTTGTTCAGCTTCTCTGAAAACAAGACTTCATATGCTTCTGTTTGTATCTCAAGTAAATGTATCATGATTCAATGATGTTTAGATATATATTTAATGCCATGACTTTATGAATTTAGGACTTTCTGCTTTGATTTAAGACTTTCTTAAGGCCTTAATTTGTGGCTGGTCAATGCAGAAACCCTAGTGTTTATACGCTAAAGGGATAGTTATAGTGGGATTTGTGTGAATTTGGATAAATCAAAAAACTTTTTTTTTTAAAATTTGTTATGTTGAACACAGTTCAGATTGTTTGGTAAAACCGTGGTCATTATTTTTAAAGAAAGAAAACAAAAAATAAATTAAAATACAAATATTTTATGTAACCTAAGTGTAAACTCATAGTGTTTTGACTATATAGCACTCCCAATTTCTGAGAATATTTAATACGGGTAATTGTATCCCTGCAATAATAAATAAAAAACAATGTTATTTGCATGAGGATTTGTTTAAGTGTGCATATTGTGTTTGGTGACAATAACCTCAACAAGTAGCCAAGAATGTTAAACATGAATTTCTTGATTTTATTTTTAAGACATTACATTATTTTCCACTTCTGATATATTTAGCATTTTCAGTGTCTATATTCTCTTAAAATCTGGGGAGAGGTTACTCTATGCATGAAATGTTTGCATATTCCATTTTCTGAACGATGTATGAACAAGATGCAAGTTAGCTGACAAACACAATACCACAACATCTGTGGGATAAAAAGTAATAAATACATATATAAAATAAGAGACGGAGACATGTTTTAACTGGAATAAACCATCCACAAGCAGCAGCTGTCTTTCCACCCCTCCACTTTTAGGGTAAGGCCTCCAAACCACCGAAATAAAGTACACTTAATGAATGGCAGAAATAATGTGACACTTAACTAAAACCAGGTTAGCCGAACCACATGACCGAAAATGATCCAGGAATGTCATGTGTATTCCTAAATTATATCTCTATAACTAGAGATATTTTTTAGACACTGGAAGCTTCTACACACTTGGATGGATGGATACTCTCACAATTGTAAAGGTAATGATTCACATATAAGTCTTGTGACAAAGTCTATATAGCTCAGCAAATAAAAAGCATTGAGAATAAAGATGAACATTTCCTTACTTTCAACACAATACAGTACAAGGAAGTGATAAATGAAAGGATGTGATCAATGTTCTTCTGTACTAGTCAGTTAAAATGCTGTTTCTTTCCCGTTTTCAACAATAAAAACAGTGTTCATAATCCATTACAAACCACAGAATAGGCATAAAATAAATTCCATGAATTTTAAATAAATTAATGAATGAAAATAAAGTGCCGTCATGAACTGTAAACGCTAACAATAACTTGACAGGAAAGACATAGCAACTATATCCATTTGGATACATGTATAACAATTTCTATTTTACATTTTTACACATTATCTTTAAATATTGCTACAGTACAATGATTTGGGAAAATAAAATCCACATTGTGGAAAACCAAAAGGAAAACGGTTTACATTTGACCAATTCCTTAAGTTTATTTCGATTTAAGGAATTCTGCATCCCTGACACAAATGGGAGTTTCATTTCCCTAAAATGTCTACTTAAACAAAAAATTTCAGAAAAAAAAAGTAGGCATCACTTTTTGCATGAATTATGAATGTCAGTTACATCCATGTTTAAGCACTTCATTTAACAAAGGGCTACAGGCCAGCTAGACAGAAGTGATGCACTCTAACATGCATTCACCAATAACATCAAATCAACATTAACACTGACGCAAGAGGCATTTGAGATGATACTGAGGAGAATATCTCTGCATTTCTCTCATCATTTCTAACTGGTCTTTAATTGTAGCATGGTAAGACTTTACAATAAGGGTTACATCTCTAACATTGGTTTTACGCATCATAAACTAATAATGAACAACATTTTTACAGCATTAATAATCTAGGTTAATGTTGATTCATAAATTTACTAGATTAGCTCATTCATATTTGCTCATAATTAATGTTAATTTCTATGACTCGAAATGTTTGTAACGTTTGTAAGAAATCTTTTGTAGCATTATAAATGCCTTTACTGTTACAAGAGTGAATCCTTGCTGAAAAAAATATTAATTATTAATTATTATTATACTGACCTTAAACAGTAGTGTACAGTACATGCAGAAATTAACATTAAGCTAGAATTAAAAAGGCTGTAACAATATTGTTCGTTGTTAGTTTGTGATACCTAATGCAATAACTAATGTTAACAAACTGAATCTCAAAATCTGTAGCATTGTTTGGGAGAGACCTCATCTCATTAAATCGTATTGTTTATTATCTGTCAACATAGCTAAAAGAAAACACTGTTCCATATGTGAACCCTGGTATCATTAGATTGTAATGTCACTAGGTGTGTTTGGTTTGGGGCAGAGAGAGAATGTGCAATAGTGAAAAAGGAAACTCTGCCTTCTGCAAGAACCCAGCGAAAAAAGTCCACGTATTGCATTTGTCCTGAAGTTTTATCATATACACACAAAATATTTACTAATATTCACATACACACACCCACAGGACGCACTGATGATATTCTACACCAGATATTGTACGTGAGATTTTGAGTGCTGTATTTCAATAAAAACATTTTCGAAAGTCTTTGTCGTGCCAAAAGAGCATCCTAACATTCTACTCACAGTCCATCCTACATCGCCGTGGCCGGGTCAGTTGTCTGCCAGATATTTACCTGTAGAATGCAAAAAAAGCCCATCTTTATATCAGATACAGTGTAAAAATTAACTTCAGGGTTCGTACAGATACTAATACAATTCCAGCACTTTTCAATTTTCAAATGCTATTTTGGGGGTTTTCACTGATTACAGTTGGGCAGGTGGTTCTAATGTCTACTTGCCCTGTCACAAAATAAATAAATGCATTAAAAAAATAAAAAAGTTATTGTTTTCATTGTGTTTGACCCAGATAACTTTGTATTCTAATAAAAAAAGCCACCAACATTTTTAGATACGAGTGAAATTTCTCAGTTGCAATTTCAATACCACAGCAACAACTATTAGCCTAACAAATTTAAAGTTCAATCTTCAAGACAAATAGTCAGTAACACAATAAGAACAAATGAGCTAATTACAAGCAATAGCACAAATGAATACAACAGAACAAAAATGCAAATGAAAATTGTCCAAGCAGGTCTAAAAGTCATATTCAGCTACAGAAATGGAATAATCAAATGAAAAATGTAGAAATTAAATATAGATTAATCGTTGTTAAAGCTACAAATGTTATTCAGCCAAGAGTAGTGAGTGATTTCTTGAGATGGTCCTCACTGCAGAACACAAGATCCAGATCCAACTCCTCCCACCTTACATATACCTCAACCTACCCGTCTCCACTCCCTGATCCCTAAACCCACCCATCTCCACCCCTAAACCTACCATCTCCACCCCCTAGATGTGGATCTTTTTCTTTGTTGTTATGACAGACAGCATCAAGCATATTATGCTGCGGTCACTTTAACAGTGTGTTCACACCAGACGTGAATGTAATTATTTGCGCGAGTAGATTACATACAAAGTCAACGCAAAGACGTGAATAGAGGCGAATTCGCACCGGGCGACGCCATCTCCTCTGGATGGTGCTGTGAACCCAGACGAGTCAGCGTTTGGCTTTCTATTGTATTTGGGACTTTTTGACAATAGGTACAAAACAGCGATTGTAGTTATCTCCACCATGGTTAATCACGCTGTTTTTACTCGCGCGAGTGACACGAAAAACATCCCGCGAGTAATCTAGAGCGAGTGACGCGATGCGCATATGGTGTGAACACACCATAAGACCTAATGCACAGATCCAGTATATCGACAGTACTTAAATCTCAAAAATTCAAATTCAAGTACTTTAAGCACCTTGTAGGTAGATATTTCTTAAAAGACATACCTGCAGAAAACCTTTTTTTAACCAGGGAGAGTCTGTAGCCTGAACCTACGAGTTGAAAATCACAGCCAGACAGAGTGCTGCCCTCACTGGTGAACTGCACTGCCAGCTGAGAAGGTCTGCTGGGACCCTCGGCTAACTGGAAGCGAGCCAGAAGAGCGCCTACCCCTGACACACAATGACAGGACAACAGATTTATATCCTACCACAATGTTTATTCACACAGTACATTTGTTAACATTTGCATTGGTATATTTATGGGGTTAATAACAATGAATAGACAAGTTCTGCACACAACCTGTTTTAGTAACTTGATCTGTGGAAAGGTATGCTCTGGTCTTTTGAAAAACATTAGTTAACATGTTTGTCATAGGGTTGTGCCGATAGACTATAGATAGAATCTCGATATTTAGAGATATCACCTGTGCACGTCACAATGATTGTTTCTGAAAACTCTTTCTATCTTCATTTAAAATCTTCAAGATGGAAAGTTTGAGTTACACTAGTTTGTAAGAGTGTGAGTATAAACACAACGAAGATGTAAAAGATATTTAGTTGATAACATTCAAAGGGATAGTTCATCCAAAAATGAATGTGCTGTCGTGGTACTCTTGTGAATGCACATCGAAGGCACGGTAAAGAAGAAATTGTTGAGTAAAGTCCCTATTTTTGTTTTCTTTGCACACAAGATGTAGTCTCGTAGCTTCATAAATTTAAAGGGGTCATATGATGTGATTTCAATTTTTCCTTTCTCTTTGGAGTGTTACAAGCTCTTGGCGCATAAAGAAGATCTGTAAAGTTGCAAAGACTAAAGTCTCAAATCCAAAGAGATATTCTTTATAAAAGTTAAGAGTCAACCACGCCCAAAACGCCTCGTTTAAACATGCCCCCACATATCTACGTCACGATGTGGGAAGATTTGCATAACGCCGCCCAAATGTTCACGCAAAGAAAGAAGGCGTAACTTTTATTCTCGCTGTAGTATTGTTGTTGCCGCCGCCGCCATGTCGTGAAGGCGCTGTGTGTTTCGTTGTGAAAGCGAAACTACTTTGTTTGGTCTTCCAAAAGAGGACGATATCCGCTTCGTCATGCCTGGAGCTGATCCGTGCTGGTCGCTGAGGAAATACATCAACTTCGCGCTGTGGCTCGCCCGATCGGCTTTCACCGTGGACGAAGCGGAGTCCAGCCCGGGTTCGTCACATGTGGTTGATGCGCCGTTCTCAAGCCCAAGCGGCTTCCTCTCACTCAAGGCCACCATGTGTGACGCTGTGTTTCGTTGTGAAAGCGAAACTACTTTATCTGGTCTTCCAAAAGAGGACACGACTAGAAATCAGTGGTTAAGTTGTATTTACAACACTGTTCCAGAACAGTTCAACCCAAATATTCAGATGTGTCCAGCGCATTTTATGGAGGACTGTTTCCTGATCCTGGGAGAGTAGACTACAATGCCAGCTGTTCTGACTCACAGTCTGTAAGTACGTTTTCATATTTAAAGAATTTGCCACTGACGATTCAAACGCGAGTTTTGAGCAGAGTAGAGTAGCGCTTGTTGTTTGTCATTTCTCCGATCACAAATGCAGACATGGTTTTGTTTACGCGGAGCGATGCAACGCAACGCGTAAAAAGATAGTATAAGTCATTATAATCCATAATTATGTCCCCACTGGATGCAACAAATGCCTCGTTTATAATGGGTTTTAATGTTTTTGTCTCGTCGTAACGGGACAAGGCATCACAGTATGTTAAGGGGTGTAACATTTCCGTCACACGCTTGAGGTATTCGGCCAATCACAACGCACTGGATAGGGGGCCAATCAGAGCACACCTTGCTTTTCAGATCGATGAGCTTTGTAAAAATCGACGCCTTAAACCACATAAACACATTTCATTACACCAAATACACGCCTTAAACCACATAAACACATTTCATTACACCAAATACACAAAATAAGGTTCTTTTTAGCAGCATCATATGACCCCTTTAAGGTTGAACCACTGATGTCACATGGACTAATTTAACGATGTCCTTACTACCTTTCTGGGCCTTGAACGCTTCAGTTGAGTTGCTGTCTATGCAAGGTCAGAAATCTCTCGGATTTCATCAAAAATATCTTAATTTGTGTTCTGAAAAGGAACGAAGGTCTTACGGGTCTGAAGCGACATGAGGGTGAGTAATTAATGAGAGAATTTTCATTTTTGATTAAAATGTCCCTTTAATGTCCCCGACAGCCGCTTAAGTCCCAGTTAATCATGGTATTCAATCACCTTCTTCAAAAATGAAAAAAGCATAAAAATTCATGAATGGGGTATTTCAGAGTCCTGCATGCAGGCCACCACTAATATTTGATTTAATGGGTGGACTATTATTTACATAGTAATTTGTGGTGTAGGTCGGAGGAACCAATAGACACGGATGGATTGTAGGTCCAACAGCCAAGACTATTTAGATTCAGTTCGATACCAGCTGATAGGCAGCTGCTTTCAAATGATGAATTTCATACTTATTTGAGTTCACGCTCTGTAGCCTGAAGGATGCAAAAAAAGTTTTTTATTTGCAGCGTTGAGCATTGTAGCTAATCGCGCTGCAACTGAAGTGAATGAAGCACTCCTTGCTCACTTTCTGCATATAATCATTTCACAATCAGAATAAAATTTATATTTTCATGATTCATGCTAGGAGGACCAACATCCACTGTAGAGTTTCAGGAGAGACAACTGCATAATGCAGAATGAATCTGTTAAAATACCTGGTGTACTGCAGTAGGTTTAATGCGGTACGGTTCGGGTCACGGTCTTTTATGTCAAACAGGTTGGGTCGGGTATGGAAATAAATTAGTGCTGCTGACAGATAACGGGTCTGGTGTTCTGTTAAGTACTGCAGGTGCAGGTTTACCAAACAGGACCCTTGCAGGACTTTGATGTAATGTAAGAATAAAATGTGAAAATATATTTTGTGCATGTGTTCAATCAAGACCTAATTGCAGGCATTTACCCAAAAACACATTAAAACCCCCCCCCCAAATGATTTCATGATGATGTAACCGTAAGTTAAAAAATTATAACTTGGTTCTGGGTTTTAAGACATCTACATTTAGTCATTTACTGTAGCAGACGCTTTTATCCAAAGTGACTTACAAATGAGGACAATAGAAGCAATCAAACCAACAAAAGAGCAAAAATGTGTAAGTGCTGGGACGAGACTCATTCTTGCAGCACCTTTGACAAAAATGATTCATACGAGTTCCTGTCCTCTCGCAGAATTTCTTTGTCCTCAATGCCTGCTTAAAAATTTATATATTGTGATATTTTGTTCTAAGCAAAAGATCTTTACTTGACCATCTATCACTATGATAATCTAGGAGTTAACAAAGGTTTAATTTGACTGTTTGTATCTTTGGTAATATAATGTGATATGTACTTTAAAAGACATTCATTAACATTGCCATGATTACAAAAAAGAAAACGCTCAAAATGATTTTCTACCTTTCAAATTTCAGATGGTCTCTTTTTCAGGACACAAAAGAATATTGGACTGCATGACATTTAAAAAAATATCTTCTTTTGTGTCCCACAGAAGAAAGAAGGTCAGGTTTAGAATAACATGAAAGTGAGTAAATAATGACAGATTTTACATTTTGGGGTGAACTATTCTGTAAGCATAATGCATAAATCCCTTTTGAGACTCGGTTTTAAATGTCGGGAGGATTTGTGTATAAATATGTTACATAACTGAAAAGTTGAGAACTACGAAAGAGCATTTCCATTCATTTATTTCAGTTTGGTTTGAGCAAGCTGCAGTTGGAGTGAAAGCAGATGATAAGCCTCTGCAGTGAACGGAAACGTTTAATCTGCTCAGCTTGCAGAAAGAAAAGCAACTTGCCAGCACTTGTGCCGCCCGAACAGCCTTTCATTAAAGACCTCAGCATCAACGAGCCGCGGTTCAGGATTTTAACCAGGGTACTTCTACATGATTTCTATAAAAATTCTAAGATTCCATTCAAAGCTGCCATGGAATCATGTATGATACAGAGTGTAATGCAGAAACAGCTAGTTGGGCTTAGTCAATCCTTTACTTAGAGTAATTCAATTTACTACCATTTAGGGCATGCTGCCAAGTGAACCACATTGTACAGTTGCCAACATGAGCTAAGCATTCCTGCAAAGCTGTTAGAGGGCTTCCCTTCCTTCAGTTAATATCTAAAGGGCATTTACCTCCATTTTCAGACCTCTGTGAGAGCTCTGGGATCTTCCACGTTATTTTCTGCGTCTCTGGGTTCCTTAAAATGCAACAAATGGGCAAACATCACTATACAACATCACACTGCTGTTGATTTGCAATGTGACAGATCCTCACCAGGTGGCAGGTGGGAGCATAGCCTGCAGTTTGTTCACGCCGCCGTCCACAGCTGCCATGAAGTGGATGTTGGTGAGCGGTGTGGGTGTGGGCATGGCCTCTGTGTTGTATTTATAGTCTATCCTGAGGTCTGTGCTGCTGGCATCACCGCGCCAGCTCACCGCAAGGTTCAGCGGAGTGGACTGGATGCCTTGAGTGGACACCTGTGAGCACAAATCTCAAATCATTTGAATCAAAAATCTCAAATCTCAAATCAAGGAGTGGACTGGATGCCTTGAGTGGACACCTGTGAGCACAAATCTCAAATATCACACACTACTACACAAACATCCGAGAGGATGACCAGGTTCGGATTTCAATGATATAGATACTAACGGATCATGCTCGAATATAAAATCTCACCTGGTACTTCAGCATGTCTACGTTGTAATACGTGGCCTGTGGCCTCTGCTCAGCCACTTTCTTCAGGTGACTCAACAAGTTTGACATATTGACCCAGAACTCCTTCGAGTCACCTGTAGGTGGCGTGGTGTCGCTGCAGGGCGAAAATATTTGCAGAATAAAGCTCACACAATATTTATACCTTCTGCATGCAATATTATATTCACTAAACTAAAACTTCACAAAAAGTATTTAAAAACATAACATAAATCTGTAAAATGATCACTTTTGTTATAGGGTTAGTTAGCTGGTTATAGACTGATGCAGACAATCTCAAAATGACCAATATAGGGCCAATGTTTATTGGAATGGACAATATATATCTTTTATTACATTTATTTACAAAAAACAATTCAGAATTATTGGTTAAAAACAGCAGTTTAGTGGACAGTGGAACCAGTCAATGAACTGGTTTTAAAACAATTAATCAACTGACCTAAGACATTCAAATTGGTTTCCAAAAGTTCTCTTATTTGCAGTAAAATATCCTTAGCATTAAGTTAATGCTGCTTATACAGCAGTGTTATTTCAGTATTCTTTAAATACTATTACAGTATTTACAGCATTGATATTGTCAATTAGCATTTATTTTTATATTTTCAGTTTATTTTAAGTTTTAGTAATAAAAAAAAAAAAATTATATTTAGCTTTAATTTATTTCAATTTCAGCTTTAGTTTGTTATTTTAGTACTTAAAATTATTTCAGTTACTTGCCAAGTCTGTTTTTTTGAGTTTAGTCAAATATTTATATTTTATTTTTCAGCTTCATTTCAAATAACAAAACCAGTTTTTTTTTTTAAATATAAATTTATAATAATAATAATAATAATAATAATTTATTATATTTTTTAATAGTTTTAGTTAACAATTACAAAACTGTTATACAGTAGCTCTGTTTTTGAATAAATTATATAAACTGTTCCTAATATTATTGTTTACAAGTCCAACTAGCAGTGTTTAGTATAATGGTAACATATTGGTTATTAGCTAATATTGCAATTTTTAAGTGTATCTGTACTGTTCATTGTTTTATATATTTACCAGCTGATATTAGATATCTAATTGTTCAAATTAAATTTTCCTATTTTATTTCCCTTTTCCGTTATCTGTAACTTTAATCAGTTAAACACTAATAAATCACATTGTTAAATAAAATCTTTAGCAGGTCTCAAAATGAATATATATTTTCATACTATCATATGTTGTAAATGCTTAAAGGGATAGTTCACCCAAAAATGAAAATGTGAAGTTTATCTGCTTACCCCCAGGGCATCCAAGATGTAGGTGACTTTGTGACCGTTGCAGTCTGTCAGTCTTATAATGGAAGTGGATGGGAATAACGGCTTTGAGAGTCAAAAAAACACACATATGATATAAATACTGTTCAGTTTCTTGCACAGACCGATTGTTTTGTGTCTTTTCACATCAATGTATCGTCACGAGCCGCAGGGTTTAATTTGGTTTTGTTTGTGTATGTTTTTTTGACTCTCAAAGCCGTGATTCCCATCCACTTACATTATAAGACTGACAGACTGCAACGGTTTGAGTTAAAAATCTTCGTTTGTGTTCTACTGAAGAAACAAAGTCACCTACATCTTGGATGCCCTGGGGGTAAGCAGATAAACATCACAATTTCATTTTTGGGTGAACTATCCCTTTAAATTAGCTTGTAGCATTTAGTTTTTTTTTGTGTTAGAATTTGTAATACTGACCATGATTAGTATCAGCCATAACCTTAATATCGGGACAACTTCAATCCCCTCAGTTTTACTCCCAAACAAAGTTCTCATTTACAGTGGGATGATTTACAGACAATTTCTGAAATGGCTTGACCGAATCTTTAAAAAGCCCAGCTCAAAAGAACAATTCCTTCACTAGTGGGACATCACTATGTATTACCAGCACAGAAGCTGTGGGTTGGGAAGGACCTGCTCCAGCCGACTGTACTGGCTGATGGTGAAGGTCAGCACTGGTGGACTGGGATGGCTGGAGAAGTGTCTGGTGATCCCTGCTGGGAAAGACAGCACCATCTCCCCAGCGATCTTCACCAAACACCTACGACACACAGTGAGACATGAGAGACGATGAAGTACAGTTTCATTCAATTCAACCAAATGTGAACCAAATTCAAAAGGTGACTTCAAAATGTGCTCTGTGGCCTACTTAGTGGGATCTGCTCCTTTAAAGTAGGTGCTGATGGTCTCTGTGAAGGCGGCTGCCACTGGTAGAGTGTCCTGGGGTCCCATTGTGAGAGGACTCGGACCTCTGGAACACACTGAAATACAGACGTAGATCTAATATCATACAAAACACACAACTTACTGAACTTAAGAAGGCATTATGCCTTTGTATCATCATCCTCACTTATCATAATCAGCAATAACTGACATGGGACAGCTCTGTTGTGGCCCACCTGACACAGAGAGGTTGAGCTCTCGGCCTAGTGTAGGTGTGGAGGCTGCGCTCAGGGAGGTGACTGAGGAGATGGAGGAGGTGCTCTCAGCTCTGGCCAGAGGAGCAAAGGGTGGAGGACTCCACGAGTGGATGGGGGGGCTGAAGGGTCGGGCCTGAGGAGAAACAAAACAGCCTGAACCAGACATATACTCTTAAAAATAAAGGTTCTTCATTGGCATCAACGGAAAAATGGAAGAAAAAATTGTTCTTTTAAGAATTGTTCACTGAAAGGTTCTTTGGGGAGCCAAAACGGGTTCTTCTGTGGCATCGCTGTGAAAACTCTCTTTTGGAACCTTTATTTTTAAGAGTGTACTCAGTAGCCCAATTTGGACTCCAGTAATCAGTGGTTTACTGGATCCAGCATTTACATGGGTATAGAGTGCACACATACAGTAGACAATCAAAGATCATTGGAGTTGCTTAATTATCTCAAGTTTAACGTTTGGATCTTCAGCAATAACCTAAACAAATTCAATGCTTCAATGTTTCACAGCAATGGAGAAAGTCGACAGATGTCATACCAGATCTGCTAGGTTTGGTTTTCCAGGTGGTAGTTTAGGTCGTGATGATGGTCTTGGTGGTAGAGGTGGGATCGGACTGCCAGCAGACAGGGGAGTGCCGGCACGAGCGGGAGAGGACGGCCCTGAGAACATGTATAAAATCAGATTACTGTTACACTGTAAACAATGCTAAACCTGCAGTTATTAACTTAAAGAGCTATTGAACCCATAAACATGTGTTTTGTTGGTATCATTTGCTGTATATATAAGTTGGCTCAGTGATGCTAAATAATACTTTTGACCAGTTAATTTAGATGCTACTATTTTTAGGTTATCATTTTTGGTAACACTTTAGGATAGGGACCAATTCTCACTATAAACTAGTTGTTTATTAGCATGCCTAGTATTAACATATTGGCTGTTTATTAGCACTTATAAAGCACATATTCTGCATGACCATATTCTACATCCCTAATCCTATCCAATACCTAAACTTCCTTACTAATTATTAATCATAGGGCTTCCTTCGACTAAAGATTTGTCTGGTCGACTAGTAGTTGTACATTTGAAGCATTTGTCGACTAATCGCACGTTTATTAATAAACCATTTAAATCATATTAATTGCCTACATTGCCTAATAATTGCTCAAGTGCACATAAACTTATTGCCACAGCGAACCGGCAGAAGTAATGATTATGAATGTGTAAGGGAAAAACAGTAAGGACACTGCATTAACATTTTAATAATTCATTGATAAACTAGTGCTTGCTTTGTTTTTTTCGGTTTAAGAGGTGAAGTCGGCGACACTGACTCGTCATCTCTGCAGCAGTGAATGCGCCTTTCATACGGATTACATAATCTGAGAATATTTTTTCTCCATTTGAATTGGTTCATTTGAAAGTAGACATTTCACTCTCTATAGATATATTTTTCATATTAAGGCAAGTATACACAGAGTTTCGGAGTTTCGCGCTCAAGTTCACAGAGACATTTTGTTTGCATTCATTATTTTACAAAAGTTTTGTTATTTTGAGTGCACAAAAATAAACGTTGAATCTTTACAGATTCGAAAGATGTATTACTCTTATCTGTATGAGCAAAAATGACAGAGTATTTTAAGAGGAAGTGAGCGCACCGGTGCCTCCATCTGTCCTGCAGTGAGCTACTGTTCAGCTAACACACTCCACACAGACACTTGAACAGCGCACATTTCTCTAGGTTAACATTAGATTGAGTGATAATATGCATAGTCACAGTAAAACATGATCACGATTTAACTAAAACAAGGGAATTAATTAATAAAACATGGCCATAAATTAATAATGTGGTTACAGCATCTAGTTTTCCTTCCGCATGCCGTTTGCACTACTTAAATATTTTAGACGTAAGGTAAATCATGAAATTTGAGTGTGCTAGCCATTAAGACAGCATTCATAGTTTTATTTAAACTTACACAAAACATTTGCATGTCTGTTGCAATGCTGTTCTTCTACTGTAACACCGCATTGTTTCACACTGTACAAGTTCGGCAACACAATGCAGGGTTAACTTTACAAAAGTGGTGCTAATCCTGCTCCGGAGCAAGGTTTCATAATAAAAGTTTCTGGTCTCCATTGACTTCCATATTACGTTTTTCCGTACTATAGAAGTCATTAGGGACCAACTACTGTTTGGTTATGTACATTCTGCAAAATATCTTCTTTTATGTTCAACAAAAGAAAGAAATGCATACACAGCCTTGGAACAACTTGAGGGTGAGTAAATGATGACAGAATTTTCTTTTTTAGATGAACTATCCCTTTAAGTAACAATCGCTAACTCACCACTGCCAGGCCCTGGAGAGCCCACCACACTCCTGTAAGTAGGAGGTGGCAGTGGAGGTGGGGTTCCTCTGAAGCTTCCTGCTGCAAGGTCTTTGGGTGATGTGCCAAACACCGAAATCTCGTCCCTCATGCCCACCAGGTCAGGGGTTCTCCTGCTGTCGTCTCTCAAGGCAAGAGGGGAAGGTATGGCTCCATGTGGGGGGTGGTCTGCTGGCAGGAAGGGCAGTCCAGGGCTGGCGGGGGTGACGGGGGGCTCTTGGGCGAGCTCAGACTCTGGGAGCTGAAAGCAGCAGGGAAGGTCTGGAGGACTCAGAGGGGAGTCTGAGGGCGGCGGTGGTGGAGGTGAATCTGGAGGCGGGATGGTGTGGAGTGGGGGAGGGGGCGAGTCGGGAGGCGGCAGGTTGAGGGGCGAGGTCGGGGGCGAGTCCTCGGGGGAAGAGGACAGAGGTGGAGAAGGGGCGGGTTCGTCTGGGGGAGGGGGTCGGGCGGGAGAGCCTTCGCTGAAGCTCACCCAGCTGCACTGCACCACATCTGATCCAGACCTGGGCGTCTCAACAGGCCCAAAAACACTGTCCAAGTCAGGCATAGACGCCCCTCCAGATGGGTCAGATAATGGGGCATCCTGACAGACTGAAGCTGATCCATCTCCTCTGATGCTAGGAACCACACTATAATAACCTGTTCAGACAAAATGAAAACAAGCTGTCAAATGCTCTTCCAACATTCACCACCACAAATTAGGGGTGCGCGATATTTATTGTTTCAATAATGTAGAAGCTGACATTATTGAGTATGTCACTCACAAAAACATGTTACATGTACAGCCTGTGTAGTCTAGTAGAATGCAGTTAGAATGACCCCAAAATTCAATATAATAAGTCCAAATATTAGCACAATTGCAAATATGATATTGATTTTATACGGTTCAACAATAAGTTAATCTGGTCTGTTTTTGCTCTATTTTACCAACGAAAATAGTTTCGAACAAAGCTGCAGTGCGTCTCTGAAAACAGTGATGTTTCATTCCTGAATGAATCAGCCATTTGAACAAATTGTCTGAATGAATGACTCACTCAGTGACTTGTCGCCACCTACTGGCAGCTTAAATTACATATTTTAAAGTATCATTTCATTTTTTCTTTAATTTTATATTTCAATATTTAAATTATTCTTTTAAAATATTATTCTCATAGCATTATTTTGATCAATTTAATGCATCCTTGCTTGAAGTGTACATACATCTAAATTGCTTCTATGCAACTTCTGGAGAGCAAAATTGGATTTTATTTGGTTTAGAATTAGATTTAATTTGATTGGTAACAGCCTAGCTGAATTTATTGATTACATTTAAGAATTTGACATAAAAGATGAGGTATGCATCTTTTTTTTAATGCAAAATTCTCATAGTTAATCAATAAATTCAATAACAAGGTTAGGAAAAAATGCTCTTATAAAGATACAAATGTCCCTGGAAATCACTTTAAGGTGGCAAATATCTTCCCACTGCACAGAATATAAGGAATGTAATGAAAATATCAATATAATTTGTGTTGATATCGCACACCCCAACCACCAACATAGAGCTGAGAACAAGTATTCTGTAGTAAGACACTTCTGAACAGGACCTCTGTTCTTTCAAGAGATTGAAACTATGTGTTTTTGGATGCTAAATTGGAAGTGTCAGTACATACTGGAGGACTCTACAGAGCTAGAACTGCGTCCAGGTGGAGTGACAGGAATGTTCTTTGGAGGAAGTGGAGGCGGAGCTAAAAGGAAAGAAGTACTTTCTTACTGAATACTGCACGCACAGTATAAATAGCTTACATTATGATGATTAAAATATCATAACGCATGCTTACATCTAACATTTAAACTACAAACTGAAATAAAGCTACAATGAAAACTAAAATAAAAATGAATTAAAACTATTTGGAAGTATTTTTATAAAACAAAACTAATAAAAATGACAAAAGCACAACAAAATTACCAAAAAAGTAAACTTAATTAAAAAAATAACTCAAAATATTAGTTAAAAACTAAAAAAATATATATATACATAATAATAAAATAACACTGCTTTAAATGAGACATGTGCCTAGCACCCTTGTTTATGCATATCAACTTACATTGCTAATCAATTAATAAAACCAGTAATAATTATAAATTAAAGTGGATTCTTTTTGTGACCCGTTCAAAGCATCTTGTTGCTAATACATGTGATTTTTTTCTGGTTAATCTTGTAGATCTTTGCAGTGAGCAGTGAAATGTGATGCTTTGTAGCATTCAGGCCTTTCATTAGGAACTATTTTAGTATTTGTCACCATTGTGTGTTTTACTGGTGCCTTTAAACTGGCATTATCAAAAACATTTTGGACATTTGACATGCAGTACCTCCAGTGGGCAGAGATCTGCTGAGAACACAGGTGGAGAGAGAAGTGGACTGACACCAGAGCTCCGGCTCAACCGGGAACACTGTCATTAACATTCATGAATGAAATATCCATCAATACCACCCTTAACTAACTTACAAATCACAGCAATGCATGACACAGAAGAACAATTCTTTAAATTACATTTCGGTTGCAATTTCTCAAAAAAAGTTTGATCTTGTAAACCACAAACCACATTTATTTTGACGAATAAATTAACTCATGTTCAGTTATTGAGGAATACTGCTGTACCTTCTGAGTTGTGTGCTTCAAAATTGGTCTCAAACGGTGGGTCGAAGAATGCTGTTGTGTTTTCTCTTTTTATGAGACAGAAGGAAAATACAAGGTCAAAACATTCCAAGGGTATTCAGGCAATGAAATTTAGTTATGTTATTCAATTTAAAATGAATAATTCAATAGTGAGCAGAAGCACAAACAGTTCCATAAGGGTTTGTGATGGTGTACTAACCTGGGCGGGTCTGAACCAGGTCTTGGAGTTGTCATGGGTGTTGGAGTAGATCGTCGTGGTCTGGCAATCTCCTCATCTGGAATATGCAAAGTGAAATCGACTACTATACAAACTGGAGTGATATGACAATACACAGGAAGTCAATATTTCCAAATAAACACTCACATGACAGGTTTCGCTTCAGCGGGCACTGTAACAAAGGTCATAAAAGAAGATAATGCCAATAAACAAAGACATTTCAAAGACCACAAATATTATAAAACATTTATATTAATTGACATGAGGGGATAGAAACCCTATTGTTTTGACATTCACACATGCATTTATTTGATCAAAATACAGTAAAAAGGTAATATTGTGAAATATTATTACAAAGTAACTCTTTTCTATTTTAATGTATTTTCAAATGTAATTTATTCCTGTGATCAAAGCTAAATTTTCAGCATCTTTACTCCAGTCTTCAGAATCACGCACAAATCATTCTAATATGCAGATTTGCTGCTCAAAAAACAAGTCTGATTATCAATGTTGAAAACAGTTTTGCTGCTTTATATTTACGTAACTTTTGAAACTGTGATACATTTGTCTTTACTGTCACTTTTGATCAAATCAATGCATCCTTGCTTAAAAAAGAAGGAAAAAAATGATTAATCGCAATTAAATCGCATCCAAAATAAAAGATTTTGTTTACATAATATGTATGTGTACTGTATGTATTTATTATGTATATATAAATACACACACACATGCATGTATATATTGTGTATTTATGTATACATAATAAATATACACAGTACACACACATATATTATGTAAACAAAAACTTTTATTTTGGATGCGATTAATCGCGATTAATCATTTGACAGCACTAATATATGTATGTAAATACATGTGAATATTGTCAAAATATATACTGTATGTGTGTGTATTTATATATACATAATAAATATACACAGTACACACACATATATTATGTAAACAAAAACTTTTATTTTGGATGTGATTAATCGCGATTAATCATTTGATAGCACTAAAAATATCTGACCAAAAAAATCTTGTAATGACCAAAACTGTGCATAATTGATTAAAACACGAAAGAGTCAAAAACAGTTCAAACACATATTATAAAACTAAAAATCTAAGAGATAACAGGCAGAGGGTATTATCTGGCACCTGGTCACTGTTTTCCATTAGTTCCATTTATTACAGCTGATGAGTGACAAACATCTTCAGCTAATGGAAAACAGAGTCCAGGTGCCAACGCTGGAACATTCACATCCAACATGCTGAAGCTGCAGATGATATCAAGAATCTAATGATTCACTCCTATTGATCCGCAAGGGCATCAAGCTGTCAGTACAGCAGTAACACAGCATGAAGCATCATCACAATGAAAGGTTCAGCGTAACTCAGGCTCTACTGCGCATGCGACAGCAGCATCAGACCTCTGTATCATACGCAACACAGTTTTGTAGTACATTAACAAGATCCATACTTACTGGACTTCGCCTCTGAGATCAGCAAAAAAGGAGAAAGAACAGACCTGGTCAGAGAGCGAGTCACAGATCAGTACTATTAACAAAAAATAAATAATGTCTGTGATGGATCTTTCCCCACCTAATGCTTCAAACCAAACCAACAACACATTTTGTTGCTTGTGGTTACACTTTCTTAATATTAAGACTGGCAAACCTGGCTACTAATTGTATGTGATATTAAAAAGTTGAATAAAACTGTAGAAGCACAGTTCTGCATTATACATGAAGCACACAGTAAATGCATTATAAAAGTGTTTCTTTAACTCGAAGAGTACAACAGGGTAATAACAATAGCACGGCCAAGGGTTTGTATAATTAAATGTAATGCACCCTAAGCTGCTTTAGATAAAAGTGTCTGCAAAATTCATAAACGTAAATGTACATAAAGCCATTAATTAAGATCTTCTGTTTAAAAAATAATTCATGATTAACAAATATCTCTGTCAGTATTTATTCAAACATAGCTGTAGGGATGCTGGGTCAATATTAAAATTCATTACTGTTAAGATTATTTTAATGTTATGGGCAATAACCAATATCAATGATATTTTGTCTAAACAGCTTTACATTTTTAAAAAATATTTTACATTTTAAATAGTACAAGTGTACAAGGCATCACAGCATACAAATGTATGAAATAATAACACCCTAAAAATAATATAATAATACATTATCTTTCAAAACTTTGGGGTCAGTAAGATTTTTTAAAAATAAATTAATATTCATATTTGTATATTTTATATTCATCAATTATGTATCAAATTGATCAAGTGTCATTAAAAGCCTTTTACAGTTTTATGAAAAGATGAAAAATGTATCACGGATTCCACAAAAATATTAAGCAACACAACTGTTCCAAATCAGTATATTAGAATGATTTCTGAAGGATCATGTGACACTGAAGACTGGAGTAATGATGCTGACACATTCAGCTTGGCATCACAGGAATCAATTACATTTGAAAACATTAAAATAGAAAACATAAAGTGCCATAATAGAACAAAAATAAATTAAAATCAATATTACTTTGGACTTTGACCACACGAATGCAGCCTTGGTGAGCATAAGAGACTTCTTTTAAAACCATAAAAAAATCTTACTGACTCCAAACTTTTGTTTGTATATATGTGTGTGTAAAAAACGCATATTGATTTTGAGCTTTAAATTACATTTAATAGTGTAATAAAATTATTAGTGTTTTTGTCTTTAAGTGAGCATTAGATGATAACAAATCTATTCTAAGTGTACAAGTAGTGGATATGAACATGCACAATTATATATCCAATATCATCCAACACCAATAAATAAAAAAAATCATTGATATACAGTATCATTAGACATGTGCCGGTATTCGGTAATGCGATATATCACGGTAATGAATATGCACGATATTGTTATCGTGGGCACTTCTAAATACCGTGAATAATTATATATGACAAATTATTCAGAATTATGAATGCATTTTAAGAATACTTTTCCCATCAACTGTTCAAAATGCACAACACCGCCGTATGCTGCGTGAAAGACGCATGCGCACTCTGATGTAAACAAGCGCGGACGAGAAGCACACGGCGGAACATGTGAGAGACGCTCTGGATGAAAGCCCACTTTCACTCTCTGACAGAAGATGGCGATAAAATTCAGAAATGCAGCCGTTACCTCGGAAACCCTGTAAACAAAGCAGCTGCACTACTTTCTGTTTCTGAATCGTGTTTAAATGATTTAAACAGCCATTCAGATTTGTATATTTGCTATAATGTTCATCACAGCGCCAAATACTTA